TAGCCCAGATTGGTGTGCTTAAAGATATGTCTACCTGGGTGGTAAACAAGAGACCTCTCTGCACTTAATCCACCGATCGAAAAAAACAATCAAGAAAATACAAACATGTCAATAGAATAATCCACACTTAAATTCGAAAAAAATCTAAGGCAACAAAAGAATTTACATGGAGACTCCTGAAAAAAGTACAAGGAGAATAAGACTAAGTTCCGGAAGAGTAAGCGTTTACTGCTTTATTGACGGCGCCCGCCATTGTAAATCTTGATAAATGAGCAAAGAAGGGCAGCAGTAGAAACCAAGGAAACCTGGAAACAAGTGGAAGGGCAGCAGTAGAAACCAAGGAGACCTGGAAACAAATGGAAGGGCAACAGTAGAAACCAAGGAGACCTGGAAACAAATGGAAGGGCAACAGTAGAAACCAAGGAGACCTGGAAACAAGTGGAAGGGCAGCAGTAGAAACCAAGGACACCTATGGGAAACAAATGGAAGGGCAGCAGTAGAAACCAAAGACACCTGGAAACAAGTGGAAGGGCAGCAGTAGAAACCAAGGAAACCTGGAAACAAATGGAAGGGCAGGAGTAGAAACCAAGGAAACCTGGAAACAAGTGGAAGGGCAGCAGTAGAAACCAAGGACACCTGGAAACAAGTGAAAGGGCAGCAGTAGAAACCAAGGAAACCTGGAAACAAGTGGAAGGGCAACAGTAGAAAGCTATGAGAAACAAATGGAAGGGCAGTAGTAGAAACCAAGGAAACCTGGAAACAAATGGAAGGGCAGCAATAGAAACCAAGGAAACCTGGAAACAAATGATGGAAGGGCAGCAGTAGAAACCAAGGAAACCTATGAGAAACAAATGGAAGGGCAGCAGTAGAAACCAAGGATACCTGGAAACAAGTGGGAGGGCAGCAGTAGAAACCAAGGAAACCTGGAAACAAATGGAAAGGCAGCAGTAGAAACCAAAGAAACCTGGAAACAAGCGTAAGAGCAGCAGTAGAAACCAGGGAAACCTGGAAACAAGTGGAAGGGCAGCAGTAGAAACCAAGGACACCTGGAAACAAATGGAAGGGCAGCAGTAGAAACCAAGGACACCTGGAAACAAATGGAAGGGCAGCAGTAGAAACCAAGGAAAACTGGAAACCAAGGACACCTGGAAACAAGTGGAAGGGCAGCAGTAGAAACCAAGGACACATGGAAACAAATGGAAGGGCAGCAGTAGAAACCAAGGAGACCTGGAAACAAATGGAAGGGCAACAGTAGAAACCAAAGAAACCTGGAAACAAATGGAAGGGCAGGAGTAGAAACCAAGGAAACCTGGAAACAAATGGAAGGGCAGCAGTAGAAACCAAGGAAACCTGGAAACAAATGGAAGGGCAGCAGTAGAAACCAAGGAAACCTGGAAAGGGCAGCAGTAGAAACCAGGGAAACCTGGAGAAACAAATGGAATAGGAACTTCACCTGGAAGACGACAAAACGAAATAATTAAGAATTTGACGACGAAACAAAGGAAAAGAAGATGACAGGAACATGTGAGACATTAGAATGAAATATCGAGGACAGAAATCGAGGGGAAAAATCGAAGAGAAAAATCAAGCAATCAGAAAGGTGCCAGGAAATTAGGAATCCACAAAAAAGTAATTCAAAACAAACGAGAACCGAGGTAAAACAAACAGCATCAATACGATGTGAGAGAATGTCATATAAAAAATAGGAGACATCAAAATAGAAGTAACGACAAAAGGAGCTAAAACTCTCACTACACGGGCAAACTAGGTTGCTCTGTAAAGGTACAGAATCTTAGAATAATATGCTTTATGAATTTGTTAAACCATGCATTGAAATTATTATTTTTTCAGAGTGGTCAAAGCAACAAAATATCAAATCCAAACACTTACGTACAATGTTGTACTGATAACCTTTTGGTATTCAAGTTTGAATTATCGGGTAATTCATATCCCGATTTATTATTCAAAGAAAGAGAATGTCAAAGATACAGCTATCGACAGGAAACCAAAATCAATATAATCTCTTTTAACCTGTTTTCCGTCTCAAGTCTCTCGGCGTTGTTTCATAGACAACAGCAGACCAGTTTACTGATGATCTCTAAATATACAGAACTAAAACATATTTTCTACAAACCTTTAACATCTCTTATGATAAGTAAGTTATATTTACTTTAATGTATAAGCTCCTGCAATTTAAAATATTATTCAGCGCGGTCACAAGTTTTCCTACATGAAATCGTCAAGTTGATATGATGGCACTTAACTATATTTCATTACATGTTCCGCAACATTTTCACAGCAGTCAATACACTATTCTAAAGACGTATTCATTCATTGTAACGAAACATGACCAAATCATCCTGATGATTAAATAGCGATTTGTTTTTGTTTTAGTTTAAAAAAAAGAAATTTTCATTTTTTGTGGCAATTTACCCTGCTTTGATAAACAAAATGATATTTAGAATCAATGGAATTTCAATTCAAGGACGGTGGTATTTGGACTACTTCAGAGTATGAAATGCCCTTAGTCATTTGTGTTACTCGGTAGATACGATCAGAGATAAGTCTCTTGCATTATATAGCCCGAAATCCGCTGGTATCTCGACACGAGTGTTCGAATTGGGCACGTGACAGGAACGACGGCCACCATCGTCTATCGATTACAATCACACTGACGTCGTCCGCCGATAATTTAAAGTTGATAAATAATAAGCATATTTATTTCGGAACAAGTAAAGCGTAGCCGAATTGACTACAATACATTGTTACTATCTTGTGTATTTGGTCTATAATCTGTTTACTATCTCGTCACACAATTTTTAACCTTAGAGTACATAGGATAATAGTACAGTCGAAAAAGTTGGTCGATTCCTTACCATCTCGTGCACTACGTACGTCATTGTTAGTACGCTTCACACTGGTCATTTGTCTGACGAAGGTGACCGTGTAGTCATCGAAACGTCACATTCTAATCTTCTACTGGTTGGGTTACCAGATGAAGGTGACCGTGTAGTCATCGAAACGTTAGACTCTAATCTTCTACTGGTTGTGTTATCAGATGAAGGTGACCGTGTAGTCATAGAAACGTCACACTCTAATCTTCTACTGGTTGTGTTACCAGATGAAGGTGACCGTGTAGTCATCGAAACGTCACACCCTAACCTTCTACTGGTTGTGTTATCAGATGAAGGTGACCGTGTAGTCATCGAAACGTCACATTCTAATCTTCTACTGGTTGGGTTACCAGATGAAGGTGACCGTGTAGTCATCGAAACGTTAGACTCTAATCTTCTACTGGTTGGGTTACCAGATGAAGGTGACCGTGTAGTCATCGAAACGTCACACTCTAATCTTCTACTGGTTGTGTTACCAGATGAAGGTGACCGTGTAGTCATCGAAACGTTAGACTCTAATCTTCTACTGGTTGGGTTACCAGATGAAGGTGACCGTGTAGTCATCGAAACGTCACACTCTAATCTTCTACTGGTTGTGGTATAAGAAATACCAATCAGTAGGAAAACGGAATATTATTGAATGCTATTATTCATTATTTCACTGAGAATAATTTGCCCACAAACAGACATCACATAATACATGTTCACCTTATTTTCAAAAAAATATTGGGAATAATCCAGGTTGATCGCTAAAACACAATGGTTGGACCTAACGGAATCGTTAGATCAGATTGATAGAAAAAGACAAAGCGACACGTCAATATACATTTAAACAGAACCAGTATATCGGAGTATACACCGGGGTCAGTTTGGAGTAACTGACGATAAACTTCTTCAAGGCATCAGAATAAAGATGCCACACACTACGTAATTACATTTGCCAACTAAAGGCATCCGAATATTGATAAAGCCGAGATGTTAAACACTACTGAATTAATATAAAACGTAATAATTTATCATCGAACTGTTATATATGTTCCTAGCCTATCAAGTAATGTATATCTCACTTACGACTTCAGAACAAAACAGAATTAAAACTCGTTTATATACATACATTTACATATCACCCACACAAGTTAATAATAAAAAAGTATATACGTGTAGATGTCTCTATACCAACGATCACAATGATTACATACCTTAAATACGTAACTTATAACATACGTCACTAAATCAAAGCGATTCCGTCAGAAATACAATAATTGATACTGTTTCAGCCCTGCCCTATATAATTTATTCTTAGTATCTACAATTTTACTGTCCCAGTCATATTAATTCACGCGAATCTTCAGAGTTACAAGATACACAATAGAATATAATTTATTGTTAGTAAAAGAATACTGTCCCAGTCATATTAATTCACGTGAATCTTAAGAGTTACAAGGTACACAATAGTATATAATTTATTGTTAGTAAAAGAATACTGTCCCAGTCATATTAATTCACGTGAATCTTAAAGAGTTACAAGGTACACAATAGTATATAATTTAATCAACGTGAACCAGTATTCTCATGCCAGATAAATTAGCGATAATACATAAAATTAATTTGATATCACACAAGGTGTTCCTTACATGTAAACCGAAGTTTGGTATTCACCACGTTAATTCATGGGTTTTCTGTCAATGTGAAGACAGGTGTTTACAACTATCAATTAGTGTCCACAGAACACGTGTACATTTAAAGTACACAATTAGTAGAAATTCATAGTGCAATTGCGTCCACCATACTGTTCTTTAAATTTATTTCTATCCCAGGAGACTTTAATCTTGTAAGCACACTTTTCAGTCTTTTTGTACCATGCTTCTCAGCAGTATACCACTCACTTAAGGGTTTTCCTTGGAACCCTCAAATCTATCAATTGTAAGAGTCTTGGGTCTGACATTATATGCGATATAGAGTAAAACGTCATTAATTTAGGGAATTCTTGGTCTATTTAAGGAATCAAAATGAAGGTTTTGAGGGCGAAGGAAAACCCCTTGACTTGTAATACTTTTGCCAAGTATATATCAATGTTTGTGATAGTGAAAAAGAAAGCAAAACAACTTTTTATATAAACCTGTGTATTTCTATTTTTTCAAAACATTTTTTCACAATGTTTGATATACAATAAATTCATTAGGCAATGAAATGGAACATCATTACTGTACATGAAATACATCATACATCATGCAACACCATATTTCTGTGGAAAAATAGCACTTTATATCACAAAATATGGTACAAATCAAGTCTGCCTTTGCTAAATTGCATTTCAGTGAGAAACTTTTCCTGTGCCAAGAGTTTTACTAAAACAAATCTTTTAACTCCCAATTCTATCAAATCAACCAGATCATTCCCACTATCTGTTTTCATTCTATCAGTATCATTAATGTCTGAATCTGTATTGAAGAATCCTTTTTCTATACATAAATCGCCAAAAACATAAAGAAAGGCAATACTGGGCATACTTTATTTAACAATGAAAACATCGTTATTACTGATGTTTGATTAATTACTGAAAGTTGATTGCTCTGCAAAAGATTTAAACAAAGTAAGATTATGGCCATCTGAATACATGAACAATCTATGGGCCAACAGTACGGGTGTCATCTGACATTGAACTGGGCGAATGGTTTACAGTATTAACATAGATTGCCTCCTGGTCTCCTGACAATGGACGGCTGTTTGCTAGATTTTGACAATAAAAGCTCGCACAGTACCAAAGATTATTATAAATGAAAAAAAGAATCCCAATTTATCTTTATTCAATCATTTGTCCAAGACTCTGAAGAGCCTTTGTTTTTAACAACATGATATGAATATCGGAGACCTGCAGCCATTATCTACTTCCATGTACACACGCATGCTTGAATCTGAAACAATACACAGGTGAACATTGACACCCAATACCTACCATTGTGTTCTGAGTTAGCTAGCCTTACTTTGGCTAGTGGCTGACAATGACCATACGCGTGTTCCTAATATTAATCCTATGTCTAATATTAATCGTGCCTGACGTAACAGCTGATGTTATCAAGCCTCCACACTATAATCCCTAATGTGTACAAATCCAATTAGCCAAAGATTAAACCAAATTAAATTAGATTACAAATTATCATAATTAGTTCTCAACTCAAGAACACACAGGTAATCTGCCACCCACAAATTACAGTGATCATCTATTTCAAAACCGACAGAAAAGCAATCAATTTGGAACATGGCTTCGATCTTCATATCATTTCATGATTTTCTTTGTAGAAGTAAACATGTCAGCTTTGGCTCCTATCTGGCAACAACTGTCACTTTATATGGTGAATGGCTCATACTCCTGAACTTTCATATAAATGGAAATATTTTCTTGTAAAGGATTTCTTATAAGAGTTTATCATTGTTCTTAACTGGAGACACTTATCCTGTTATAGTGATAGCATATGGCAGGCCAATACATGTTGTACTGTTGGCATTCACCTTGTCACAAACGTCAATTACGTACAGCTAGAAGACTATGATAGTATCTGCAGTAACAATTGTAATTCTTGATTTCCTTTCTGAGAGGTTTCAAAGATTAGAATGGTGGTGACATAAATTTTTGTTGGCTGTATCCAACAATCTTCTCCTCAAGATTGTTTTTTGGAGCAGTTACAGGCACATAGGTGAAATACTTAGCAAAGGACTCAAACACATATTCAATCATAAACAGATTTTAAATATAACTCAACAAAATTTATAACAAAATTCTTTAACAAATTGTTCAACATATTTCTTCATATGATGTCAGCTGTAGTTATTTTCAAAAATGATAAAATGTTATTATGACAAAGCTGATCAAATGAGTGTACTAGTAATTCTATTAAAAAGATAGATATAATATGCACACTATTGGTAAATGGTCACTATGGATAATCTATATATATCAGATACATGGTTATTCTGTATGAAGGACAAGGCGACTGTATATGTTTTCTGTGATAAAATGAAATGCTCAGGCAGATCTGACTGTCAATAGTAACAACATCTCTATGAAATCTGCAATGGGATACCAGCTTTAGCCATGAAAACCTGTAGGAGGTTTAATCAGATAAAACTGGTAGCAACACTGCAATAACAAAGCATTAGCATACAAAACCATCTTGATGATCTGGATTTTGAAAACATTTTTTTCTTAACATAAACAAGCAGAAAATTCTTTTTTAAAATAAAATTGATTTCTAATTTAAATACCTGTAATGAAAATTTAATGTTCATTTGCAATTCTATAAAAAACATAGAGAATATTCAAATGTGTTGATAGTAAATATCAAACTACCCAGACCTCAAGTGTTTTCATTATTTACTTGATGGTACTCAAATGTTTACAAATCTTCTTACATCCTCTCTCTTTACACTCCAAAACATTTGCATCTCCAATTTCTCAGACTCTTTCCTTCATCATATTTTTCTTCACACAAATAACAGCACTTTTATTCAAAACAACAAAACACAGTCAAAACTTTTTTTTTTCATAACCACAAACACACAAAAAATACAAAAGAGCTACAAAAACTTATATGTATGATATCTACCAAACATGAACAAGTAATAACTACAATATTTTAAACAATGAAAGACAATGATATGGAATGATGCTAACCACAAATATTTATAGATTCTCAAGACACCGCCTCACTGTTGTTAACCCTAGCTAGATCCTCCTAGAACCACAGCAGGTTAAGCTAGCTCTATACTGTTAACCACAGCAGGTTAAGATCCCCCTATACTGTTAACAACAGCAGGTTAAGATCTCCCTATACTGTTAACCACAGCAGGTTAAGATCTTCCCAGACTGTTAACCACAGCAGGTTAAGATCCCTCCATACTGTTAACCATAGCAGGTTAAGATCCTCCTATACTGTTAACCACAGCAGGTTAAGATCTCCCCTTTATTGTTAACCACAGCAGGTTAAACCTCCCTATATAGTTAACCCTAGCTAGCTAAGATCTCCTGATACTGTTAACTCTGGTTAAGTTTTGCCTAATCGTTAGCCCAAGCAGGTTAGGATATCTCTATATTGTTAACCACCAAATGTTAAGATCTCCCTTAATCACTAATCACAGCAGGTTAAGATTCCTCTATATTGTTTAACCTAGCTGGCTAAGATCTCCCTATACTGTTAACTCTAGCTGGTTAAGTTTTGCCTAATCGTTAGCCAAAGCAGGTTAGGATCTCCCTATACTGTTAACCCTAGAGATTAGATCTCCCCATACCATTAACTCTAGCTAGTTAAGATATCCCTCCCTTGTTAACTAAAGCAGGTTAAGATCTTTCTATATTTACTGACAACCATTGTTGAGTTTGGTTTCACCAAATAGTTTATCATTGTTGTGTCAGAACCATTTTGCTGCATCAGGTATCATTATAGTATATACCATTAGAGAGATATACTTTACATTATATAGGTGACACAATCAACAGTAATATAATGACAACGCAAGTACAAGGGCTGGGGAATAACATTATGATGATCTAAAAAAAAATAAAAATAAAATTCATCAATATTAGTTTAACAGCACTGGATTCCAAATTTGATCTAACATCCAGAATCATGAATTACAGAAGAATTCCTTATAACACGAACCTGAAATTATTTATCATTTTAATGATAATCCACCTTCCGTGTATAAATTCCTACTATTAACTTGGATTTGAAATCCATAAATAAAGCACCTCTATCACAATTCACAAAGCAAGCTAGAATTCCAGTCAAATTTTTTTCTTCCCAAATCCAAAGATTCTACACAAACCTCTTAAAAAATCTTAGGTACCGCATTGTTTGATAAGGAAGTCTATTATGATTCATAGGGGGAATTAATGAATATAAAATACCCTGTAGACTTATAAAAGTTCTGCACACAGTTTTGTCCAATTAATATTTCTGTAATGTCAGACTTTTACCAAACTTGTAGACTAGTTAGAACTATTTCTTTACAAATGTTTGATTTAACCATGTCATCAGTCCCTAAGATACATATTATCATGTAATTCATAGACAAATGTACACCCCCTCATATTGCTTCTTTTTATATCCAGATTCTTTACATGCTGAATCATGAAATGTAATGATAAAGTTAATGGGACCAAAAGTTTTGAGTGAAATGCCTCTGAAATGCAGATATTTAGGCTGTAGCACTATCATCAGAGGTCAGAGACCCTTTGGGGCAAATTGCTGCTTTAACTCTTAAAGAGTACATTCACTTTTTCTCACTTTTCTTCTTCTTGTTCTTGGCCTGTTGCTCATCTGCAGTGACATTACGAGGGACGAGGAACACATTGCCATCACTTGACTGCTGCAGTGAGAAGAGATGAGGGTCATATGGACGACCATGTTCATCCCTTAGAGACTGGAAAATCTCCCTATATAGAGAGCTGAATTTGTCCTTCATTTCACGTGTCTGCTTGTCAATAGCATGCCGCTCTTGTAGCAGGCGATCTCGAGTGACTTTTAGAGATGTCATGTCATCCTCGAGATTTATAATAACATCTAACTTCCGTTTCCGACAATTCTGAGCCGCTACCTTGTTTTTCCCTCGTCTCCTAATGTCTCGTATTAACTGTAATTGTGGTTCTGTTAGTTTGTATTGTGTAAGAAGTTCATTGAACTCTTCAACGGGAACATCCACAATTTCTTCCACTGTTAACGGCACTTGAAGTTCCTGTATCCGTTTTGAATCTTTACACTGAGGGCCTTTGTGGCGAGGTTCTTTCTTTGCAGAAGTGCAGTATTTCTTGTACTCGCGTGGAGCCTGACCGGGTTGTAGTGGATAGGAGTGATTGTGACCGATGTGGTTTGTTTTCGTTGGTGCGAAGTTGAAGTCTGTATCATTTGATGAGCTGTGAGCACTATCACCATTAGAACTACCACCGGAGCTATAACTATCACCACCACTGTTGTAACTATCACCACCGCTATTGTAGCTATCTCCATCGTTGTTGTAGCCACTTCCCCCGTTGTTAAACTTGCTGTAATTGTTACTCTCGAAACTGCTGGCTTTGTTGAAGCTTGGAGATCCACCACTGTATTCATGGCCGCCTGTGGCACCTTCCAGACCATCAAATGGTGACAGGGCTGTCTCACTGAACTGGTCCTGGAGACACAAAATGTTTGATGATTCTCTTACTTACATCTTTATATATTACTCTTCTTTCAATTCAATCTTTAACTACTCATAACAAGATATCATTATGGGTTTCCAATTAGGACTGCATTTACAGAAAAACTTTACCTGAAACAAAACATCCAAATGGTTTGTAGACATAATCTACCAGATGTAGCTAAATTTCATCAATGAACAACTTCTGAACCATACTACGAACAGTGAGAAATTCAATAACTAGATAAACGTACCAGATCAGAGCTCTCCTGTGACACTCCTGATTCACTGCTGTTGTCATCCAACATTCTCATGGATCGTAAACCTAGAAAAACAATGTAAACCACATAAATATTGTCTCTAATCTTCATGGAAATCCCACATCTATGAAAATAGCCTATGTGTTTATATAATTAAAATGGCAAGATGGTTTTCATTGAATTATGATATCAATCTCGTACAATATATTTACATGAAGCCTTGTCGCTTTATATGTAATGCTGAATTGTCATTAGACAGATATTAATTTGAATGGTAAGCCATTTTATCTTCTAGCCAGGATACTATAAGGAAATGTTTTGCCAGTAGATGTCTAACCATCATTAAGAGCCATCTCTGTGAGGTTGTAATCCTCTAGTCCGTCCTCGGGGATGATGTCTGGCAGAATACTCTCCATCTCTACTATAGGGTCAGACTGGTTCTCACCACCACTACCGTTATTGTAGAACAAGTCATTTCGCTCCCAGTCGAGTGGGGTAGGACAGCCCTCACTAGAACTAGTTGACGTGAAATTATTCATTTGCTGCTGAGGAATGGCTGTAAAAATACATGAAATTCCTTTAAGTTACCTTTCCCCTCCTTTTATGTAAACATCTATATATAATTTGTCTTGTATCTGTCTTTCATTATTTAGAGCTATTTTCATCCTTTCTACTCTGCTGTTAAGTTCTTTTTTCATTTAAAAGGTATTTTTTCACGTTAATCATACAGGTTCATGAATATATTTTTCTGTCTTTTGTCTGTATTTTATATCTTAGCTTTCTTTCCACCTATGATTAATTTTTAAGCTGTAACTGGTTCTGGCATTGTTAGAATACAACTACAAAATCTGTTTTGTATCTATTCAATAAATGTTGCAGAATAAACAGAATATGTGGTCTGTGTCTTGAAATAGAAGTTGTATTTAAGATTGGGTTAGAAAAACAAAAGGCTTCTTGTTCTTCACCCTTACCAAAAAACACAGCTAATCTTTTAAGCCAATGACCATATAATCTCATAACTTAGTTATGTAATGTAAGAAAGGCAGCTTACAAGTGTTCGGGTATGGAGTTGGCAGTGAATTGTTGAGCTGAGGGGCCACGGGTAGGGTGGCATTCTGAATTAACACTGAACTGTTGTCCGTGGGAGACACAACAGACTGGTTTACTGGGCCCATTCCCATGGGGGGCCTCATATTTGTATCATTTTCTGGCAGTTCCAGCAGATTTACAAGATCCTGCCACCTCTCCTCCAAGCTTCCCATTGGAGCATATTGTTCATGATTCTATCAAAAACGAAACAACATCATCCATGAAATTTTTTGCTGCTTTCACAATAAAAAGATAAATGAAGAAAACTAAACATATCAAACAAAAATTTGACAGTTAAGGTTACGCAAATGAAGAACAGCTTATTATTCAACATTACATCAATACTGTTTCATATAAACACATGTAACATTCAGTAGTTTCACAATTACACTGTCAACAAAACCCATGTGTACGTAAATATCTCGCAAACTCCACGATTAAACACTTCAGACGGTACCTGTTGTGTTGCCGTATAGTTAGCAATGTCTGGCCCAAATCCCGTCATCATCTGAGAGGGCGGAGCTTGAGGAGGGGCCATCATTTGTGATGTGTGCTGATATTGTTGTTCTGGCATATGATAATCTCCCTCCAATGGTGGAGGCTCGCTCATCACAGTCATGTTGTTCTCGTATGGCATAAAGTTCTGTAAAAATGAAAACACATTTGTAAGAAAATAAACATATACACGATATATAAAATTTCCTCAACGCTATTATTCATCTGTCCATCTCTCCTAATAACTAACGATAACAATCAACTTGTCCACCAAAACACCAGGAAATAACAAAGAATACAAAAACTTTAATCTGCAGTAATATGTCCATTTAGTATATAACAGCCTCTGAAACCATGAGAGTAAAATTTAAGTCACAATACCAATTCATGTTTTCAGAGCAGCATCACAAAAGAATTTTAATAATCATCATAATGAAAGCAATGACACATTATAGAAATCTATCTTCAACTGATAGGCTAGAAGATATCATAAGCTGTCTATCTACGACATATTCAGAGAAGACTTGCCTGAAGCTGACTGTTTGGTATTGGAGGTTGTCCGCTTGCTGCTCTTCCTCGTAGAGCTACCCATTCACCTAAAAGAAAAAGCAAAAAGGTTATTGAACAGCATACTTCTTTAACATATTATCAATATACAAGTATATATATATCTGTACATAACTTTTTTTGACAGCTACCCTTTCAGTAAAATTCATCGTGTGGTAAGTTACTAGCCATATCTATTGAATAGAACTGACTTGTTTACAGAGGTTCTAACAAATATTAAAGTTACCTGTTTCTGTATCTTGCATAAAATTCTCTGTCAGCCATCTTCTATGTTGTTGTAGTCTCTGTTCCTCCTGCTTGTGCTGCAGAATTTCTCGTTCTTTTTGCTTTCAGACAAAATCATGATAAAATTAAGTACCAGACTTAATCTGAAGCATTCTTAATATGATAATCTTTAAGTATTCCTACTAAACACTGTTGATTATGTGTAAGGGCAATATGAGATCCCCCTTGTGTGTCCACCTATCATCCTATGGCTATTGTTAAATAGATTAAAGGTAAGAAGCAAAGATTTAACAAGAAAACACAGGGAATATACCTAACTAGAAGAATTATTCCAATATCTAGCAAAATATGTAAGATATATCAATGTTGTAAGTAAAGTGTTAGCTTAGAGTTTGTTTAGATTTCTCTATCAAATCTCTGTGATAAGTATTTTTATACTCAAGTATAAAAAATCTGAAAATTATCTATGTTTTTAAATCATCCAGATTATTTGTATAAATTAATAAAAAATTAAAGAATCAGTATCTTGTAACTTATGTTAAACAAAACTTGAAAATCTGGAAAGAAAAACATCTTCCCAAGAATCTAACAATATTTCACCATCAAACCTTCCTTCTTATATAACTAAGTAAAAAAAGCTGAAATAATACAAGCTGTTTCATACTCACTTTCTGTCTCTCCTTCTGCAGTTCCACCTCTCGTTCTCTTTCCAACTCCTGGCGGAGGTTGATGTCGAACACCTCCTTTCCCACACCCAAGTCTATGTCCTGTCTCCATAGCACGTCTATCAAATCCAGATCCTGTAACATAACAAACCACATGTTATGTAAAATATAATCATTTCTTTGTGTGTACTTTTCCTTGTAATTAAACATGTACATTAGTCCAGGAAAGGATCTACAACTGATAACAAGTACTCCCACATTAAATTTTTTATTGCAGCGTTGGCATATCACAAACACAATTTTATTTTGTGACACATACAGACATGTATAAATGTTAGGTGGAATCACTTCAGATTACTTTTGAACACAGAACTCTTGACTTCAGAATGACATTCAGGATATGATAGTACGGATATATCTGATAATTGTCAACAGATTCTGGGAATGGTTTCACAAGTGTACAAGTGTTATCTAAATCCTTGTGTACAAAGACTGCGACCACATGTAGTGTACAGGACATGTACCTGGAGACCTTACACAGGTAATGGTGTGAACAGGTGTACATTTAGAAAGACATTTACTCAAGTTCCTGCACATCTACATCTGCTGGACCTCAGTGTCCTACATGACAGGAGTATGGAAAACCACAAATGTTTCAAGTCATGTCATCCTTTGAAAATATTTCTCTTATTGAAAGCAATAAGAGAATTCCAAAAAAGTATGGAATTCTACTCATTTAAATATGTTGAAAAAATAGATAACTTAATAAAGAGCACACGAGCATCCTGTTCCTGGTACATTTACATAGAGTATACACTGCGGAAACACAGAATTTCAAAAATTCTGGGTAAACAAAACCACATCAATTGCAGCAATCATTGGGGTGGTGTACCTCAATTCATAATATTTATATTGTACCCATTAGAAACACCAGATTGAGAGTTTCCAGAGAGCGAATCAGTAAACATCACAGGGGCTGAGGAAACAAAAGTATTATCCAAATCTTATAGATATATTTAAAAAGAATTTCAACTGTTTTTGAACACTTTGTGTACCAGGTATTTTCAAATTCTTTGTCGAGTAAGAAATATGATTCTGTGATCTATATTTAAATCCACATCTCCCTGAAACTCAACGTTTGACTTAGATATTACCATTTCGTACATGTAAAGTATCTGTAGTATTACATGTTATATGTCATCTATTGCACACAGGGTTCCAGAAGAACAAGGTCCCAGTTACCAACGCCCTTTATCTATATTGATTCAGGATGTCACAGATTCCCGTACAAATGCACCTGTATTTTATGTACCTAGGGCTGCACATCCTGTACCAGCTCTGGTTGTTTGACATCTTACCACATTGGGAGTGTAGCTGTCTGGGTGTTAAATATTGATTATAAACATGGCATTTTCCTAGTAGCTACCAAGAGGAGTGGACTAGTGTATGACCACAAATCCTGAATGTAAGATTTATATCATGTTTTTATATTTGTAGAGTTGACTATATAGACTGCTTAAACAGGAACTGTTTATTTTATCAACTATCACACATAAAGATGAAGACTTTCCCAGATCGTGGTGTTTAGATCCGGCCATTCTAAAACATCAACCCGGATATTTGTTTATGACCATTGATTCTGTATCAAGATCTATAAAACACACTAATAGACAATCAATGTATATAACTGCTAGTGAAAGCAGGAAGTTTTGTCTTTCTTACAATCAGTACAAAGAAAATTAAAGTGGGCTAACAATTTGAAATCTAAAGAGTATGAAGATTATATCAATCTTTGCTAAAAAGTTGTTTTTGTTTAATCTGTTTTAACCCCTTTCACATGTCAATTTACTCATCAAACAGCATGCATATGGTGTACATTTGAAAATAAGATAAAGTTGGAATTGATTTGAGGGGAAAAAAAAAACAACTAAAAAACTATAATTACAATTCAAGTGATAAATTTACAAATTGACTTAGCATCTAAGAGCCTTTACATCCACATTTACAGCAATTAAATCTGACATATCCTCAAGCTGAAGTTTACTAACATTTAATGCTTTTCAGGCCCCAGGGTGAGTTTCTGACAAACTTCAATCTATTTTGCCACTATATATGGTAATTTCAGTTGTTTGTTATAATAACAGTTCATATTTTTAAGTAAAATATACCCAAGACTGTCATTTTCCTACACAATGTACTAAAGTAAAATTGTTAAAAAGTAAGACCCTTTACCCTATAATTTGTATGGTTGTAATGATATGACACATTTGGGTTAGTCGATGCCAAATCTCTAGTTCAGCTTTTATGTTCATCAATCTCAACCAAAATGAAATCAGCCTTAACTTTCATTTCATTTTCAAGTGTTTTTGATTAAAAAAAAAAAACCTTATGACATGTGATTTAACATCTACTCTGTCCATCATTCACCAGTATGCTATCAACTCCGGTGTCCTTAAGGGAAAACATCAACACAAGCCCTAGACAATTATTGCTATCCATTTACATTTATTTTAACGAGTTCAAGTACGTCCGAGTTGGTTTGTAGCAACCTTAGTAATCATAACAAATCATTAAAAGATGTGCACTTTTAGATATTCTTACTGTTATAATGTCACAACTACCACAGACATTCTCATAATGCATTAAATTACTTTTAAATCAATCAAGACAAGGTTTTTGAAGGTGTTATCACAAAAATTTAAATGAGAACAAGTGCTTGTTGTAAAATAGAGGACTTCAGTTAATTTCAACATCAATATTTTAAGTTAGATGATTGATGATAGAGAGCTGGTTTTTCCAATCCTGATGACACAAGTTGGCCCTTCCCAACCTTCATTATCATGTCATATATACACCTGTAGTATTCCTGTGTATTGAGTCAGGTGAGTACAAATCCATGAAACAAAGTATGGTTAGCTAGGATTTTTGTTAAAACTCACATGGACATTCCAGAAATTAAACAAATGAAATTTTTATTTGGAACATACTGCAGAGATATCAACCATTTTAAACTGATAGTTGCCTTTTGTTATCTGCAAACTGAAAAGAATATCAGAAAATTTAGAAACGAGAATAGTTTTAATACAAATTTGATAAAGCTAGTTGACTTGAACCTCAGAACAAGGACAAAACAGTCCTTGTTTGTCACACCACAACCAATAAACGGTTTCTGCTCCATCAATCAAGCAGAAAACTTCCTCCGTAATGGGCTTCTATAGTTTTCCATTATATCAGAGCAACTGACCCCAACATTAAGCTTCCTGATGACCTAGAATGTTATAGATCCTCCGCGCTCGAATCATTACCGCAATCAGACCCATGTAATTGTGTGGGATTTTAAGCCGACAACAATGCCTCTGTTCCATACCAATGTCGTTCAAACCAGAATTAAAAACATTTCGATCCTCCGAATAACAAGAGATTTGAAAACCTACAAAGCAAGCTTGGTCCCCTGTTCATAAAAGCTTTCTAATAAGGATTCAATTTACCTCCAAACCTTATTTGATCATACAATAGATTTATTCTTGTGTATTGACGACACACAGATAGAAAGTATTTCTGCCCCAAGGGTACAGAGGCCTTGCCAGTAAACACCAGATACAGTACTGTACTTTGTCAATGATGAAAGCCCTATAATAAGCCACACCAAATTTACTGTGAAAAAGACCTGAAATTGACGAAGACTCTTCAACTATTATATATACTAAACAAGCCCCCATATCGTTACATCTGTAATTACCTCTACAGGACTGTGATGAATGTGTGTCACTGAAAAAATCAATCCCGGTAACATCTAAGTGCTAAAATGAAATATTGAAGTAACAGAACAAATTCAGATTTTAATGGCCTCCAGGCGCCTCAAACCTCAAGACTCCTAAGCTTCAGCTCATTCTTTTTAAAGGTTTTTATTAAAATCAATAAAAAATGTAATGGTAAAGCCCTGCTTAGCGGTCCAAGGATAATCTATAATATATAGTGTAATGATATATTCAAAAAAGCTGACTTTTCTCGTTAAAGGGAACAAAGCCCTGAAGACTATCAATATAAGAGAGAGCTGGTAAGTTAGATGATATATGTGTGCAGTAACAAACTTGCCCTTCATCTGGGCAGGTGACTGGGGTTCGATACCACAATTAGACATGATAAAGCATGAGGTCATCTGCCCAACCATGTGGGGTAACTTCATGGATACTTCCATTGTAAAGACTCCCTATCACAAGTGTTTCCAACCACACCAACTAAAGTATAAGCCGATAGCTTTCTTCACAATTGTTGTAAAATTAAGTTTACAGCTTGACATGTGTGGGATTGGTACTCCTCTGAAAGCTGTTCATGACTTAACTGTATGTTATGACTGTGCTTTCAGGCATTTTAACTCAATTGCTCTGGATTGAACAGTTTCTTGTAACAGGCCTCCTTATGATATGGTGTTCAGTAAAGTAGCCACCACTTACTACAAGGTGACCCTATGGCCTTAAAATGACCCAGGTTGTTCATATGACACTAGTTACAAATTAAGTAATATGAGCAGCACATCTTCACCTTTTACAGACAAAAATTCTGTATCAAAAAACTTTCATGTAACACGAGCACATTCAGAATAGAAACTTACAAGATGTATTAACAGTGCTTAACAAAACCAACCAAACCACTTTTATATATAGTTCACAATATGAACTATAAAACTGCGAATGAGAAAATTTGTATCACAAATTATCTAAAAAAAAACCCCAAATTAAACTTGAATGCCCTTGATCAGTACACAGCAGGTGTTTCATGTGGATGTTAATGTGTATATGTTAGCTGTTTTACTGTATAAAATCTGTAAGCCTGATGTTCTGAATGACTTAATTATTACGCCTGTGTCTCGCCAACCAACTCGCGACACAATACATAGTCCAATTCAGGTGTCGCAAAACAATCTTATAAATTTTAATTTCAAATAACTGCGTAGAGTGATTGTTAGACGACGATTGCTGTCGTAAAAACAGCCAACTATTTAGTGATCTATCAAATGCGTGTCCAGAGTACACAATGACCAGCATTTCGCAACCAATGTCAACTTTTTTTTTAGGAATGTTGATTTGCAAACTGTATGCCCATGGGTTATTTTTAATGTCTATTCAAATATGTAT